TTGTATATATATATATATATATATATATATATGTTCTATTTTTAGAAAAGCGATCGAAAGAAAGATGAAGAGATCCTAATACATATTAGGCATAATAAAATCACCACACCAACAGAATACATGCATAAGAAAAACAGGATGGAACAATCTTTTATCCGCTAAGCCGTTGGATTAACTAGTCTAACACATGTGATTTCTTTAGATAAAATAAATAGAGACCTGTAAAAATACACAGAGGAAGGAAAAAAATATTCACTGCTTTAGCATTATAATGCTGTGATGTGTCTATTTCTAGTGATCAAAGAACAAGTTAAATTAGTAACAAAGGGTACATAAAAAGGGTACTTGGCAAGTCAACAAGGCTCGCTCAAATCAGTTACGCACTTGTGATAAAGATCTAAAACGAAGACAAGTATATTTAGAGTGCATGTAGAGGGGACACTGATATCAGTGTCCCGCTGCGAAAACATTTCAGACAGAGCCTCACTGCACAGCAACGTGGGATGGTGGAATGAATATGACAGTCATTAAATCATATATATATATATATATGAAAGTTGCGTTTCCAGATACTGTTTATTGCTGAGAGAAAATTTGAAAAATATACCCCATGTTCGCGAAAAATAGTCATTTAAAATACATGTCGAAAAAGTCTAGATCAGATGGGTATCGAAAATAAAGGGACAGTCGTGCCACCAAAAAAGGGGAGGAAAAATATGTTGTGAATTGGGAAGTGACAAGTAATGGGATCGTTATGAGTGTGGCAACCGGAAATTCACTTTCACGCTTTTACACCTTGAAGTTGATAGGAAGGGGTTCCGCAAACAATAGACACCAAATCTTTGTTTCCGCCTGCTACTCCCTCGTGGACACGATAAAATTCGGAAAAATAGACATTCTCCGTATCATTTTTTCGATAAATATTCGATTAGGGTCTCTAAAAAATTTGTGATATGCAAAGGAAAATTAAAAGTACTAAGTGATCTAACCGAACAGACTTTGGTTAACCGGTACCGATATGAAAACCAGAGAAAAGATCCTAACCAAGTACGTATCGCTAACACGTTCAGGTCAAATGCAAGGAGTATTGAGATATAGTGGATTGTAAAGCAGAGTAAGCTTGTTGCACACCTTTTCCCTCTGCCTCTTTTAGCTTCTCATCTGCGGAAGGCGCAACTAGCAGTCCTCAGAGGGCTCCTAGCCTTGATACACAGTCCAGAAACGGCCGAGATACCTGTGCTCCTCTACACACATGAGCCTATTATAAGGTTGCCCCTTGGGCGCCGGAAGCTTTTTTTCCCCAAGCCGCAACAAGGGAAAGCTGTCATCTCACCAGAAAGACGACGATTGATCCTTTGACTTCCGGTGTGAGAAATGACTTAACGTCCGATGCTCCTGCGTATAAAGAGCGCGCACGGGGCGATAGCCGGGTGACATACTCGCCGGAGATATGGACGACCGGGGGGAAGCTCTCGAGCGCAGCGATCCGCCACGGCTGTGGCTGCGGTCCCGGCCATTTAACGAGACGGAGGGCGTCTGCACAACGCGCCGCCCTGCCATCTCCGCATTCCACGCCCTCCAGTCGTCGCTCAACGAGGAGTCGTACCGCTTCTCGGCGCGAGCCCGCCGCTGCTCAATGCGGTTCACCACCTCGTAGAGGAACGCCTCGAGCTCGCTCGTTGCGGCCACGGCGCCCCCGCTGGTTGGGAGGCTCTGCCGCAGAGGGGTGCCGCAGTGGTGTTCGTACGGAAGCCTCCCCATGGAGTTCTCCATGTCGATCGACAACACCCTCCGCGTGCTCCGCACCGCAGGGGATCCTCGGCCTCGCTCCGCCGAGTTCAGACGTGAGGAGGCGGCGGAGGCGATGGAATGAGAGCCGCGCCTGGAAGCTGCTGGGGAGCCCTTCGCGGCTACGACGGATGGACGCCACTCACGAGAGACGTGACCCCTCGGATCCCTCACATCAGAGGACACCACATTTGAAGCCCACATGCTTCGCCGATTGTCTAAATTCCTTTCAACTTTATCCTCAACACGCGAATGGATGACACCGTTGGTGTCACTTTTGTTTTCTAAACGACTCAACGATGTCTTGTTGAACGATGTCGGGTGTTGTGAGGTCGAAGCTCGGCTCGGGCCCTGCAGCTCTTGGGAGGGAGACTCGCAAAGTGGATGGCTGGATGTGGCACCCCCACCCCCTCTCTTCAACACCCCTGATACGGATGAGGAAAGGACATCACTCTCACGCGACCCCAAAAGCTTTGGTATGGGCACACTAGAGAGGGAGGACCGCCTAAGGGGCGTCATGGAGCTCTGCGATGCTTGTACACCTATTGCACCGGTTTTACGTACCGAAAGGCCAAGTGCAACACTTCGCTGTGTGGGGTGATGACGGAAGGGAACCGTGTACTCGGTCGACAGCCCCGCATCCGCGCGTAACTTCATCAGATCAACAGAAAACCCCGACACCTGTCTACCGTTTTCCCAAAGCGAGAATCGCAGTTTCTCGCGACTACCAGATGGTAGCATCGTGATGTAAATTTTTTGTTTTAGAAAATTAACTTCTTTAGGTGTGTCGCACACTACGCGGCTTGTGGTATACGTGATGCCACCATATTGTACTTTCATGTTGTACTCCGCCTTTGGCACAAAAGGTAGCACACGAGCAGCATCGGCGGAATCTGAATCTAATTTTACGTGCTCAAGGACCAGTTCAAGGACCTGCTGATCCATTCTTCCTTCATCGTTCCTGTACTCTATAAGTTGACCCCTAGAGCTAGCAATGGAGGTAGTATAAGGCATCCGATTACGGTGTGATAAGTCACGTTCAAGTAATTCTGGGGAACTCATCAACTGTAGCGGGTGCGGGTATTGACTATCATGATTGCGCGTCGAGTGTGAGTCCGTCACTCGTGAACCACTGTCAATGTTGACTTTCAACGAAAGGGAAAGCGTTCCTAGAACTTCCTCCAATGCATCACGTAGACTAATGAGGTAGCTTGTCCTAGGCTTTTCGGTATAAAGCGTAGGATCTATCGTGCCCTTCGCTAGCACAGGGGCGCTGTTCGCCCCAAACACCGACGGGCGAAGCTGAAACATGATCACATCACTCACCGCAACAGAAAGAATAACGGGGTCGCCAGAAAAGTAGAGCACCATGTCAGACCCAGAAACTTTAAAGTAAGATTTTGAAGTGCCTCCCTCTTGTTTGATATGAACTGAATTGAGCTCACGATGACTCGCACGCGGCACGCGAGCCCAAACACACTCGAAGGAAGCAGTTTCGGGGATGGAGTGGCCTCTGCTATCGGGCTCAAAAAGTGAAGCAAAGGTCATGGCGCTGCATAAGAAGCGGTGCATAGTAAAGCTGAGCGAGAGCATAATGAGTTGTGGACGCTAGATTTAAGGGGGGGAGAGAGGGAATTACTTCTACAGGAAACAAGTAACACCAACAATTAGACTTGTAAGTTTATATTCTAAATTTCTTAGTACAGTTGACTTGTCTAGGCAAAACGTTTGAATACCTTTGAAATGAAAAGTAGAATATACGTAGTATAGAAAATGAAAAGTGGAATAAGATTGAAGACCTTGCGCGACTAAGAATAAAGCTTTTCTAAAATTTATCACTTTTTGCTAACCAGAACAATGCGTTGCCTCCCTTTCTCAGAATGTTGAAGAATTCGCCCGGAATGGGTGTGTATGCAGAAAAGGAAGACGTCCATCTAGCTGGATGGCATCTCAAGTGCATGCGATGGCGTTGACATATCCGCTGATAGTGTGCTGCAAGCCTCTTCCCTGTTTTCAGACGTGCCGGATAAGGTTGCTTTTGGTGGCAGATTTAGATGAACGGATGTAGAATCATTGAATAGTGGACCCTTCCGCTCTATCAATCCACTTTTGGTAGAAGGCATTGGATGTTGGGCAGCACCCTGTCCGACTGTTTGGAGAAACTTTGACTGCTTGCGAAGTCTGCGAGCGAAGTTTTCGAGTTGCTTGTACTTTGTGGTAAGCTCTGTGTGCTCTTTTTCCATTTGTAGTCGTGATTTTCTCAGATCGGTCTCGGAAACTTCGATCAGACGACGACGTGCTTCCACAGCACCAGAAGCTTGGCCGAGTCTGTCGTAGAGCTCAAAGACTAAATGCAGGATGGTGCTATTATTGTCTTTCTGTGCTTGCACTTCCGTTAGCTGTGCCGCTATCTTTTCTAAATGCTCCTGCCGTGTGCATTTAAGTTGACCCTGCCGCGCCATGACCGCTTCCAGCCTTGCACGCAGATCCAATATGGCCTCACTAACCAGGTCCTCGACGAACGGCAAGGCCGAATGCTGCCGATCGTGATCACCGCCGAAAAGAAAAGAGCTCGATAGATGTCGCTGAATATCCTCATCCCAAACTCGCTTTGTGGAGACTACTTCGTCGTGTAGGGCGCCCAGCTGAAGTTGTTTACTCTGCAGGGTAGAGCGGAACAAGTTCAGGGCATGCTGCATCGAGGCGACGTTGCTGTGCATCCTCATCAACGAGGGTCGAATGTTGCTGTCGTAGTGGTTGAGTTGCTGGGCAAGAGAGCACGCTGCACCCGAACCAAGGGATTGCTCCAAGACACCTTGCCCCACAGTATCATGAGCACGCCCCTCCGTGGAATGGACTTTCAACATATGGACCTCGGCAACGGCTGAAAATCTTATTTGATCCGCCCGTGATTTAATCCTTTCCAAGGAGGATTTCAACTCATCAAGAGCTGGCAATGCTCGTATCGAATCCACAGCACCATTCCCCATAAAGCAAGCTTTTTCAGATGAGGAACGAATTAGATGGCGCCCACTGATCAGAGAGCGCTTTTCCGCCTCTGCCCGCTCCACAAAGTTCTGAAAATCCCTTTCAAGGGATTTCTCAAGCTGCACCTCCTTAGCCTGATACGCCTCTTGGAGGGTGTCAACGCTACGCCAACCCTGCTCACGCAAAAGCGCAAGATTTTCCTCTGCTGCCTGGCGGACGCGCTGTGTTTGCAGTTCGATCTGCACACGGTGGGTCTCCAGCCTGCGTTGGCTCGCGAGCCAGCGCGCATTTTGATCGCTTTTCCACTGCTGACAAAGCTCCGCAAATGCCGTGTCTCGACGGCACTGCATCTGCGCGCAATGTCTGTCGTGAAATTCTCTAAAGCGACGAGTTTGGCGGTCGCAGTAGGCGCGGAGAGCATCCTCACGCTCGTTGCGGTCCTTGAGAAATATATCATGCCGCTGCCGAGTCGCAGAGATAACATTCGTTGCAATGCTTTCTCGTAGCAACGGCTTGAGCCAACAAACGAACTCAGATTTGATGCCTTCTACCAAGTTGTAAATGACATCACTGAGCTGCTGAACAGCAGTCTTCTGTGGAGAGGCCATCATGTGGGCTTTCATTTCGTCAAAGTCATTCCGCATGGCCTGAAGCCGCTGCTCACGCTCAGAGAACTCGTTCTGGAGGCGTTTCAACTCCTCACCGTACTGGCTGTGCAGCTTCTCAGAAAGTTGGTCCAAACTCTGCTGGACCTCGATTGTACGCTCCTGATCTAGTTTGTTCCGCATGGCACACGTATTTTCTTCAATCTCACTCCTATTCTTGTTGAACTCGTCGTTCCTCTGCAGTAGACTTTGTTTTTCCTTTTCTAACGCGCTCACATCGAGGCATAAGTGATGGGCCCCGCTATTCAGTGCGTCCAGATTCACCTGAGTGGCACGAAGAGACTCATTGACAGCCGCCAGTTCTGCTTGAAAGTCCTGCAGCTGCTGCCTTAAAAGGGCTCTTTGCGCCGTATTGTCCCCACGAGCATGTGTTTGACGCGAAAGTTCTGCAATGGACTTGCCATCATCTCCCGCGCTATAGTTGCTTAAGGCCCCCAGAAGGTTAGACTCTCGGAGTGCCGTTGTGGTAACTAGATGGGGCGCAGACCCGGTGGCAGGCGCATGCGTAGGGCCTGCAGTTACCCCCCATAGCCCCGAGGCAGTTTCCCCAGTAGCATCGTTAGGATCATTAATGTCCAATAAAAAGGATGGGATGGTCTCTTTCGGTTGCAATGTTAAGCGAGGTGATCTATTTATAGTAGCAGTAGGATCTATTTCCTGACGTGTCTGCCCGCCTCTAAGCAGTGTTTGTTCTACTTTTATGGGGAATCCTGGAGCGATATCCGATGTGAAGACATCATTTTCAAAGCTAAATGTCGAGGTTGTATGAGCAATCGACGGCTCCTCTAAACCAAAAGCCGCAGGGGCGGGTGTTTTGCCACTACGTCGACCTGCAGCAGGCGCTCGCATCACCCTTTCAGGGAAGGTGGGCTCTAAAGCTCAATGTGCGAAGGGTCTCGAGTAGATGTGACAAAGTCGAAAAAAAATAGGAATGTTAACTTATTGATCATGACAGGATTCTAAAAAGTTGATGAAAGATGAAAAATAAAATACCATAATACCTCGAGAAGAGATCTCACGCTAAGTAAATTATAGGTTAATATATATTTGAGGAAAGATAAACACATTAAAAAGTAGTAGAAGCGTATTAGAAGAATGTAGTAAGCAAGCTCATCAAGAATAATGACAACGGGTGAGGATGTGCAAGTTAATAAACAAAGAGTTTTGCTGTTCCATTCCTGCCTTCATATCTTTGAAGGATGTTCAAGCGTAGAAAGGAGGGAAGGGCTCCAATGCTGCCTCAGCATATCAATGTCTTGTTTACATACAGTGAATACTGTCCGAATATAAAAACTGCTAACCTTACGACTAAAATACATAAGCAGAAGTCTGGGGCTCTGTATTGAGGAAAAAACTCACAGCGCAACTAATGTAATCTACACTTTCTCCCGTTTACTGGAATCGCCAAAGTTGTTAGTCCCTCATGTTTCTGTAATAAAAAGGGTTGATTTTGGCATGTTTTCGTCTCGCGACGTCGGATGATCCATCGTTTCATCCTTTGCTGCATCACTATTCATCTTTTGATTGGATTGGAGGAGAGCCTTTCGAGCTAACCGCTGCCGCTGGGCCCGAATACGCTCAAAGAGAAGCAGAAGCACTCGCTCCTTGTCCGGCCAGCTCAGCTTCGATACGTCCACCTGATGGATCATCTTCCATGTGGCGCCACCCGAGCCGCTCGGCAACGCGTCAGCCTTAGCGAACTCGCTACGCTCCTGGCAGGAAGATCCCCCCCCCCCTTGTGGCCCGGGGGGGGGGTGGACCCATGCGGCTTCTACCTTCTCTAACAAGCACAGCTGGGATAACGGATCCTGCGAAGAACCCGATGTGGCGCCATGCGGAATTGGGGGAAGAGCCTTCACGCCGGTGCTACTCTCCGCAGGGCTTCTAAGACGAGACTTCCCCTGGGCGGCCGGCACCGCGGACGGGTCATCGGTGCGGCCACAAACCCCATCGCCGTACTCCCTGGTGGGATGGGAAGGGGGGCTTGAGGTCGGATGGGTTCTGGAGCAGCCCATGAGTTGTAAAAAGCGCTGATTCTCGATCCGCAGTGCGGAGGAGTGGGTGTGTCTAGAGGGGTTGATCGATCCCTGGGGAGCAGTACCGCGTTCGGATATGCTTTTGGTGTGGGTGGTCAGGAGCTGCTGCTGCCGCTCGTAGACGACTTGCGCCTTGACCTCATTAAGAGCCTCGTAAAAGAAGTTCTCCAGCTCCCCTCGCTGAGATAACACCTGTGCAGAAGCTTTGCGTAACTTAATGAGCTCCGCATTTAGCTGCAGCGCGTCACACCTAGCACTATCTCTTTCCTTCGTTAGCGCTTTGATTTGCTTCGCATGCTGAGCGTTCTGCCGGACTAGGCGCGCCTCATAATCCCCAGAGACCTTTTCCATAGAATCCTCGACAGACTTAATCTGTTCCTTGAGTTTGACAATTTCCTTCTTGTACTGGACACACTTTTCCTTCAAATCCGATTCAATTGACGTGTTAACATCCACAGCACGACGCAAAGCTGTGTTCTCTTCGCCTAGGGCATGCTCTCTGTCACGTGCGAGCTTGACATCATTTGCGAGAAGCACCTTCTCTCGGACCAACTCGAGGTTCTCGTTGTATACCTCCTTAGAACGACGATCTAAGAGCTCATTTGCCTTGCCTTTAACATCGGAGCTGTAGTTTTCATGCAATCCTTTCTCGATGCTCCGCAAACGGAGACGATCCTCTAGCATTTTCATGCGCAAACTCGACATCTTATCCCCGCTTCGCTTCGCTTCGATTTGATGTTTGTCCACCAATTCCTTTACTTTATCATAAAAATGCTTCTTGAGTTTACCAAAATCAAAGCTATTTGGTGTCTGATATAGAATGTTTACCATAATCTCACACAACTGCTCCACACAAGCGTTACCCTGACCGGTGGTGTCCTCGGTCTTTTGAGGAAGGAGGTTGCATCCCCTTGGGGTCATTTGTCTCAAGCTAGTAGAGCCGTCTAGGGCGCTCACGTCATCTGAGGATAGGAGATCAATGCCGGTAGTATCGCAGAATTCGAAATCTGCTGTTTGCGTGGATAGCACTGGGATCAGGCCAGAAGATAGATCCACCCTGATAGGCGGAGAAGTGGACGATGCTGAAGGGGCAGCTTCAGCGGACCTATCGGTTGCGTGCCGATTTTGATTGATCCCTGCTACCGCGCCCAACCTACCCCCCTTGAAACCGCACCCTGGATCGGCATCCATGACGGGCGCACTGAAGGTGATAAAATGTAAACGAAGGCAGAACCCTCGACTAAAACTGGCCGGTAAGCTGAGAGCTCTTTTCTCACTAAAGTATTCAAAATTGACAACTGAAGAAAAATTTAAAGCACAGTGAGCAAAAAAAATAGGGTCGAAGTTATGGTTGGCGATAGGTCATGTCTATTTGTCACCAATAACAGCATTATTTCTTTCTGGAGACTCCACAAAGCAGTAATAACTCTGTATGCTATTTTTAGAGTCTCAAATAAGAATAGGAGGGGGTGAAATTTTTTTTGAATCTTCCTTTTGCGAAAAGTTACCAAAAAACAAGGGAACGGTTGAATACATTTGAAAATATTTGCCCTCAGCTGAGATTCTAACCTGACGAGGATAGACATTCAGGATGAGTTAGAAACGATGAAATATATTAGCTTCAGCTCCGAGATCACATTAACAACATAAAGCCGTCAAAAAATATAAACAGGCGGGGTGCATTACTTTTTCGCAATCAAAGAAAAATAACACGCCAAGAGGAATGTAAATAATGCAGCTCAATAGTCATTAAGTATATTTTCAAAGTAATTGTCTATGGTTGCTTATTAAACACACAATAAATTCCCAAGTACTAAACAGCGCTCCGTTTCTATTTCGATTCTTGAGATCTTCACGCCGATGCCGCAAATACATCCTATCGCTTGACCTTCCCCACACAGACACATACTTCAATGTAGCTTTTTACCTTCCTCCTGCACAAAACGTTGTGCTCGCTCCACGACGTTGTCATTCCTAGTGTTGAACAGTACTTGGTCGTTCATTTCTAATGATGAGTTGAACATGGGATTCATGGCGATGCAGTCATAATGTGCCCCAGTGTACACAACAAACCCACGCACACTATAGTTGTTCCCTGTTCCAAACTTCCGCACAGCAGACGACTCCAAGTCAAGAGCGAAGATCTCCGTCTCGTAAATGCGACTTAATATCTCCAACTCGACGGCCCCACCCCAAGAACCGGGCCGGCTGAGCCATGCAGCGTACTCATATGGATCTTCACCAAGCACTTCCTTACTGAATATTTCAGGATGGCTGATCACGAACTCCACACACTTTTGACGAAGTATAGGTCCATCTGAACGGCTCTTGTCATGCAGAATGTACGCACAAGCGTGAAATAAACATGAATTATCAGATGGACAAATACGACGTGTGAAATGCGCCCTTTCATGCACTGGAGGAACATATTTTCTCCCATCTACCCCTTTCTGGAGCCCTCCTTCACCTTCCTGAACAATGATAATATCGTTGTTTCTCAGCTTAAGGTCCTTAAGAAGAGTCTCATCCGAGACCCGAACCGGCTTCGGGGGAAATCCAAACAAGACTTGGATCTTATTCACATCGAGTCCAGTAACTCTCTCGAGCTCATAGAGTAAGGCAATCCAGGGAGCCTCAATATCCACTTCTAATTCCATGGGGGCGGTACTTCTTGGTATCCGTACCCTGAGTTTAATCATTTCGGTAAACAGTATGGTATTTGGGCTCTATAATGGATGGTGCTCCAGTGGATGATGTGTAGTCACTATATAATTAATAATACGTATAAAAAAATGCATTAGAACAGTCCAAATGAGTTTTTTCAAAAAGGTAGAAAAGGAAGAATAAAAACATAAACCATATCAAGGCTTCAGATCGCTCTACATGAACACACAACTAGAACCAATGGTGCGGTTATGCTTAAAACAGAAAGGGATAAACCGCATTCCTCTCTAGTGACCTTGCTTTTGCTTCTTCCTTGGAGCTATTTTTTTTTTACATTATCCAAGTTGTATCCAAGATCCTCTTTGTCTATACATGAAATAATACTGTGGAAGGAAAAAAAATGCAAACTCACCTCTCTCACAACATCAACGACTCACCTGACGATCACAAATTTGATTTCGTCGCTGTATAGAAGCTGAAACCCTAAAAAGTAACACTCCTCAGTCCCCTTTTCCTATTGCTTCACATCAGAATGCATCTTGAGATGGTTCATCTCTGACACGTTTTCAACCCCTTTCAGCACCTCATCATACTCGGTGTACAACTCCCTAATCTTAGAGTTCTCTCCAAAGCAGTGCAGAGGCGACTGGCCGATGTGTCTGCAAAGCGTACTTCGCTCAGTAAAAAGATTGAGTTTCTCCATGTACTGTTTTCTCTGCAGCTCATTAGCGTCCTCACGATGAGCCTTCAAGTAGAGAGCCATGTACTTGAGCACCGACTCCTCGACAGAAAGTCCGGGGTACATAGGCCGCACCTCCGCCGCCGCCAACATCGCGCGTGCTACTCGGTCGTATAGGTATCGCTTAATGTATGTTTCCCCGTCCATAGTCCGACGGAGCTCAGCCTCTTTTTCTTTGCATGCGATCGGCAAGAGGGGGCATTTGTGCGATGGCGGTAGCGGAACCTCCGCATCAATGTACTGCCATGGCCGTTTGAGGAATCGATCCTTATTGGTCTCGTCTAAGCAGGCGTAGTACTTGCCGTTATACTCCACCACACAGGAAAGAGAGCCTAGCTTCGCGGTCGCCTCCTTCACACCGCGTAGCCCGTAGCTATCACGAGTGTCATACAAAAGCACTGGACAGCAGCCCAGTAATGCTAAGTTGCAGGCTTCGTCATCGGAAAAAGTACGGAAAATACGTACTGGTAGATGACGTGGAAGCGGGCGTCGCATCGCAGGCTCCGCCACAACATGCGGATCCAGCAGGAAGCGCTGCAGATAGACATCGCTACTGAAGAAGTAGTACTCACCAAGATACTGGGCAGTCCACAGACCCTCACAGAATCGCGTGTCAACTAAGTCATCCTCCTCAATCCATGAATAAGGGCAGTACCACTGGTAAATTGACATGTGCGCGACCACCTCCTCACGGAATTTCCAAAGGTTCGACACGGATACCGGAAAGGCGAAGCGACTACAAAGCAAGGCCTTGCGACCACGCTCCAAAAGCGACTCAACATCCCTAACCAATTTGATTAGATTGGCAGGATCCTTCGGGTCGCTAGAATTTGATGGGCTGACATCTTGAACATAAAGAAAGAGTTCGTCAAGTCGGTGCTGAACTGCAGAGTACAAAGGAAGAAATTGCATGTCTTGAGAACAAGAGGGTGCGTCGCCAATACAAACGGCTCGCGCAATCAGCGTCATGAGAGGATGCTTAACGACACGATCCACACCAGGCACGTCACGAGGCCAATCCGATAGGATTGCCCCTTTCAATTTTACATCAGCTCCACCAAGACGAAGAGAGAATAGCCGCTCGATAATACTATAATCCGTACGGCCAGAAAAAGCGGCATGAATCGCTTGTGCCGAAAGTGACCCAAGCCGTGGATGTATTGCAGCCCACGAGAGCAGTTTCGGGACTGAAATGAAAACAGCATTAAGGTTATAGGCGATAGATTCCGCCAAAGATCTCCTTTTCACGCCATCGTCTGGCGCAACATATTGATTCTCACGGATGTCTCCTCCAAAGATAGCAACGGCCGGCATCGAGTCTAGCTTGGGAGGGGGCGGTGGTTGGGAAACGTAAAGAATGGGATTTCGCAGGAACTTTTTCAGCGTACTAAACCTCCTGAAGTAGTACACGCGATCTGCGAAGAGAACTGAATTCGGCGACATTAACCGGCTCCACCTCTCTCGCTTGAACTCAGCAAAGCCGCGCATCTCTTCTAGTTCCCCTGCACTGTATTCCGACATCTCTTCCTCAACCTCTTCCATGTCGTCCAGGAGTACTGGTTGGCCCTCAGTGCTCATATTATCTGCTCCCATGCTTTCGGTTGTTTCGCTAGAGGGCTCTGGCGCGCTCCACTTGCAGCTACCCGCTGGTTTGTATCGACAAGGCTGGTACATCCCCATGCGTCTTTCGAAAAGTTCAACCGAGTCCGTCTGCCCAAAGCAAGACTCCGTCGCTCGTCCAGTCCTCAGCAGTTCTTGCGAAAACTCGTACCGCACTACCTGTGGGGAGCAGAAAAAGGAGCCTCGGTTGCAGAGGTGGCGCTGGAGAAGTTCATTGGCAGTCTGTAACACGGTCTCGGGCCCTGCACCGCCCGGCACACGCATCACGTCCACCAAACGCTCCTCGAGAAGCTCCAAAAACTCCTCAACGGCCTCGACTTCCGCGCTGAACAAAGGCCAGGAGTTGTCACCCTTCTGTCCTCCACCTTGCAGGTCACCAGGTCTCTGTTGGGACCCCCCAATCGCTACCTCAGCCTCCGAGGAGCTTAGATGAGTTTCAACGGGATCGTCGTTAGCACCGATGTGGCGACGGCGCCACAGCTGCAGTGCACTTTCCCTCTTCTTTTGTTCTAGTTCTTTTAAACGTAGCCTGGCATGCTCCTCCATTTCAACAATCTGCGCCTCGGTAGGGTGCAACACAGACTCCCTCCGGCGTTGTTCAATCACCTTCCCAGCGCGCTGCGCATGCACATCCTCTGGCACATCCAAGTAGACCACTACCTCGGGGATGCAACCCTCCTCGAAGAGAATATCCATCCCAGTATCTGAAAAGGGTGAGCAGATCATGATGTAGCCCTGTGACTCAAACGGCTCTATGCGAGTGACGCAAGCAAGGATACGCAAGTAGGCGTCGTTCAGGCGCTCTTGCTTGGCTTCCATATCCTCCGGCTCGAACTCCAGATAACTCTGCAACTCCGCCTCTCGCGCCGCAACATCCTCATCATCTTCGTCGTCATCCGCGCGCTCTGCCATCATCTCGAGCTCTCTCTCTGCCTCCTCGCGGAGCTTGAGGCGCCGCTCGTGATCAGACGCAAAATCGCGGAGCTCGTGAAGAATCTTGGTGCCACGAGCCGCCGCAGAACTACGAGATAAGTCAGCCTCCGGGATGAAGATATCTCCGACCTTTGCTCCACCGGGTGTGCCTGCGGCTTCAATACAACTTTCGAGAAAATCTGTATCATACCTGAAGAAAGGAATACCAAACTCGCGACGAATCCCGGCGCTCAACGTTTGTCTGCCAGAAAACGCTGCGCCCACCACCCAGAGTCGAGGAGGTGTATTCTGTGGCGGGACGTCATTAACATATCGAAGCGGATTTTGCTGGAATTGGTTCAAGCATTCTTCGTTAGCAAAGCAATACAAATCGCCAAGGAAGGAAAGACAAAGGTCATTGCTACCCCGTACAAGAAGATGCTTCGTGTAGAGAGTCACAGGGCAATACTGTAGGTGCGAGCCGAACTGATGAAGAAAACGACGCTGAGGCTTCAAGAGAGGCTCAATCTTCTCGGATGTGGCTAAGAGAGCCTTGAGCTCTTTGTTCTCCTCTTCTCCGTCTTCATCCTCCTCATCCATAAATTCCTCCCCCTCTTCATCCTCTTCAGCACCGAGATTCTCATCAACAGAACCAGGAGTCGCCTGAACTGCAGCAGGGCTGACACGTTGCCAGATATCCCAAAGTAACTCTTGCTCAGACATACCCAGCACATCGATCTCGTGTATCTGAATGGACTCAGAGGAGTCATAGTCGCCTCTACCCTGGTGCTCCCTAATTTTTTCAACAATTTGGGCATGGAAAGACGAACTGTGTTGCCAAGAAGCAGTCTTATCGAACGTGTCATCAAGATTAGCGTTGTCCTCATTTTCTCCATCTAACAGCGTGGGAGAGGCTCCGCGCCGAAGCGCAATCACCTTTTTCGGAATTGTGTTCTCCCTGAGCAATAGCTCCAACACCGTAGGATCGTGATCCTGCGGATTCAGTGCCGTTATAAGAACAGGTAAACTGCTCTTCTGTTTTTCTCGAATTTTATTAATTTCCTGGTCCAGAACCTCCGTCACGCTTTCCGGTTGTTGCGCTACCATAAATGTTACCTTAGAGGGGGGCTCCTGTTGCACAGAAAGAGAAGCAGTTTTTTTCCTATTAGGTTGCTTAATGATTTTGGGCTTCTTGGCACCTGTACTTCGCCTTCGTCTTGCTTCTAGGCGAAGGCGTTTCTCTAGCCGAACGGTACGTTGCTGTCGCTCCTCTTTATCAAATTCAACGCGGCTCGAAAAAACAGCCCCACGTTTATCGCGCAGCTCACGGTACTGGCTGTGAGAAGAAGCATAGTCGAGGAGAGGAATTGGGGTGAGCTGCAGAGAATGGGCAAGCCGTTTGATTAAGGAGTGTAGCTCCAAGCCTGCCACATCATCTTTGCGCCCTCCTTGAAGCTCCTCATCACTCGCTATGAGAAAGATTGGCTCCCGACTTGCCGGCCTGCGCCGAAGGTAGAAAAGCGGGTTTTGCTTGAATCGTTCAAGTTTTTCGTGTGAGGCCATCGTGTAAAAGTACGAACGGAGGGTGCAGCCAAAAGCTGGTGAACCTTCTATGAGCACGTGGTCCTCCTCACAGGTCACAGGACAAAAACGTTTCCAAGTGGGAGAGTACTGGAAGCCATTCGTCATGGCCTTATCGCTCCGCAGGGTGTCCGGGGAGGCCCCATCAAGCCCTCCGCCGACTCCTACCTCGTTAACCAACAAGGTGGGTTTTAAGTCCAGACTGTGCATCGCGTAGGTGAGAATATCTTCAACACTCGACGTTGCGTCAACCATGAGAATGGCACTGCGAAGGGAAGCACGCTCGACCGCAAGATTCAGAACCGGAAGGCTCGTGTATGAGGGTGGTACCTCATGTGGGGTTGTCTCGACAGTGTTGTGTAGAGATGCACGGCCACTTTCGATGAGTCGACCGAGCATCCACTGGAGCTGTTGAGCATCAGCCTCATTTTCATTATCTGGTTCGTCATCTGGCAACTGTTGACCCTCCAGAGTGAATCTGCCCCCTTCGTCCTGGCCTTCGCTCGACAAAAAAGCAAGCATTTCCTCTGCCTCAGCTGCTCTCTCGCGGGCCTTGGCCAGTTCCTCTTCAGGAATATTCCTGTCATTCTGAAGCTGTGCAAAGTGCGCTAAGGCCTCCTCGTGAGAAGCTATCATCTCAGACCTTTCTTTCTCTTGCCGCAGTCGCTCCTGCTTCGCATTGTAGCGCGCCAACAGCGCTTCATCAATTGAACTCCTCGATGCAGTAAAATTTTTCTGAACCTCTTGAATCCATCCTGTGTCTGTAGAGGATATCTCCAGAAAGACGCTCGGAATTGCGACTCCTGCTATCCCGCAATCCTTAAGAAACTGAGCCACTGTATCCATATTGCTTGCAGTCAGAGAAAGAGAGTCGCTAAACACATAACCTCCATACGTGCTTCGGCTGACTACCTCACGATGAATCAGCGCCGCTTGGAGAGATAGCGGAATGGAGGTGGCGTGCTCCACGAGCTCAAGCAGCTGTCGGCCCAATTCATCTCCGCTTGACGCGTTCGCTATCGCTTTTGTAGCGAGTTCGAGAACATCCAAGTGAGCCGCATGCAGCCTCTCGGCGAGAAACTTTCCAACTGTTTTTTTGCCCATGAAACGGGGACCGTGAATCAGGATCCGATTTTCAGAGGGACCACTGTTATAAAAAGCACTCTCCTGCCGCCAGCGTCGTAGATCTTCAGGCATGTACAGTAATGTAGGATCCTCAAGCCGCCGACGGGGCTGCTCAGTTTGTACATCCTCAGCGTTGGTTGCTGTCAGAGGGTTCAGATTATCCTTCTCTTCAGTCCTGAGATGTGCTTGCGTCATAGACAGAAGCTTCTCAAGATAACGTGTCGTGCTCAGTTGCTGCGCGTAGCGTCTACAGATAAAGCTACAAGCACGCTTAAAACTTTCAATATCCATCTCACCCTTCTCATTAAGAAACTCCAGCCAGATATTGTGACCCGCTACTTCTAAGCGCTGGGACGACGAATTTGAAAAATGCAAGCGCATGAACCATGCGAAAAATACATTGAACTGACTTGCCGTGAGAGCATCTGGTTGCTCAGGCGTCGACAATGTGGCCTCCTCGATTCTAGCAGAGTGAATATATTCCCAAAGGGTACAAAATATTTCTTTATGTAAAGGCTGCGGAGTAAGCGTTACGAAGGATGCCACAGGAGTTGTAAGCATCTTTAGACTGCATAAAGAAGGACTAAGTAACAAGGTTTTGTAAGGATCATCTATAATTGTTATCGGTGGCTCATCTGTGGTGATGCAATCCACGAGGCTTAGGTTGAGCTGCACGAGTGCATCTTCCGTGGTAAGCACTGCATGTGGAAGCCATAGACTCGGTATATTGTCTAAAAAATGGTAAAGATCTTTTTGTGAGTAGCATTCCTGCTGCATCATCGGCGACCCGCCAAAGACTGAAAGAACTTCCTGATCAACATCGTCAGGAGTTGGGTTCGCATGTGTCGACATGTAGAGGCAGCGGACGATGTGTTGCATCGTATCGCAAGAAAGGGTCACGTCATTGGCGAAATCGGATATTTCCTGGTTGGTAGAAGACTTGTTCTTCTCCTCGTCCTTATCTGCGTTTGTTTCCGTCTTGAGGGCTTCCGCAACGCAGGGAATGGCGCGCCATAAACGATCCCTCACATCACCTAAGGTTAACTTTGGTTCCTCGTTTATTTGTAGGGCCTTCTTTTTGCTCCCCTTCTTCATGGGTTTAATTGTGTTGGCGAGGGGGGAATTGAATCACTCCTTTTCAAGGTTTCCTTCCTTTCAATCAAAAAAGGTGAAAGATCAGTTAAATATATATATAACATTAATAATATCAATTGCGAAAAGTGCACTGAAAGACGTCTACACATCCCAGAGAACACAATAAGTCGCATTGGTATCTTTTCTGGGAAGAATTAAAAGGGTGAACAAAGAGAATGGCAATACCAAAGGGCATTAAAACGCTAAGCCTTTCCAAGAAAACACCTTTCACACATCCACAGAAAACAAAAAACAACAACCAATCAACACCTCGAAATCCTCAATAGGAAAGCAACGAAAGGAGAACAAATAATGTCACAAATTGACATGATTGCATCGACATTTAGTTATTTGATTCGCTGACACTTTCCACACTAGGCAATTATCTTGGTGAGCCGGCATCGGCATCTAACTCAGCGGAACACAGTAAGTCATCCGTCAATTCCAAATACGACACCATCGAGTAGTCGGTGCCTAATGATACCAACTTATTCTCCAGATCCTTAGCATCTAATTTTAACTGCAGCAACATTTTTTCTCGATCTGTAAGTGCCTCTGGTGCCCCTTGAAGAGACGATTTTGATGAAGTAGTTGGTAAAGAAGTGAAAGTTGAATCACGCGGGTTGCCTGCTAGATTGTTAGTACTAGCGGAAGACACGCCAGCACCATCCTTTCGTCGTCGGAGTTTCTCCCAACTTTCTTCCGTCTTCTTTGCGGTGATGAGAGTATCGCGGGCGATGGACGTGAACTGCCGTGCCACACGCTCTGCAATGGTCTGAAGCATGCTCATGGCTTCATTGTCAGGAAGGTTGTTTCCTCGCGCAGCGGTAACAAATCGCACAATGGGGTCAATGATGCTCGCAACATACCATGATGATGATGTGGGGGGTGGCTTTTTCGTGTGAGAGTACGCAGAACGTACCGTTTTAATATTTTGCAGGCCGACAACACACTCACTTAAAACTCTTTCTATTATTTGTGTTTGAGCATATTCGATAAACGCCTTGCACGTTGAATCTCGTATGATGTGCAACAGATTGGCAAGCGAATGGACGCACGAGGACGATCCTTCGCAGTGCTTCTTAAGCTGCTCAAGAAGGGAATGTTCTAGAAGGTTGGCAACGCGCGAGGCCCCGGTGACAGCTGCAAAAAAAAGAGACATATCATCCGTAGCATGAGGTTGTTCACAAACTGCAACCGTCTCAGAGGATGATGTCACTATGGATGACGGTGTGATACACTTTTGTACATCACGGAAAACTTGCTTGCAACTCCCATCGAGCTTTCGGATAAACTTGGGAATGCACACAGTGAGCAGCACACCTTCCGAAAAGAGCCACAGTATCTGATCAAAAAGAACTTGAAGGACGTTCCGGATGGCCACTTTCATTTCTGTGGTATTCTTAAGATCCATCAAAGCAGCACCGATTGCTTTGTCCATTTCCGTCATACGCAAAACAGCATAAATATCAGTGTTCCACTTGTGGTTCCACAACGCGACATCCGGCGACTGCCGAAGCGCGACGAGTTCTTCTGCGGAGATGCATGAGTGTTCTGCGAGGGACAGAAGTCGATACGCCGCCACATACCGCTTATGAAAGGAGTCAGGAATGCCAACATCGCAAAGTGCGACAAGCTTTTCAATGAGCAACTTGCACACCGCTGGCCACATAATCTTGGAAACAGGGAAAAGAGACGTGCCAGCGAAGCTTCGACGCATCAATGGGAAAAGAGGTATAACAGCATCCCGCAGCTCCTCCTCCAAGCGCTGAAGTAACCGCACCATCTCATCCGCGCTTTGCCGTGCCTGAGCCGCGGCTTTCCACGACAAGACATTCTCCAAGTGAGGATACAGAATGGCCTCAGAAAACATGTCACAGAACTCCTCCTGCGCGCCGATCACGTTGTACAGCTTCATGACATCCTGCAGGCTCTGAATGTCCCTCGGCTGGGGGGATTCAATAAAACGATGGGACAGAAACTTGACAACAAGCCTCAGCGCCGCCAACACAGAAGAACGACTCTCTTGAGCATAGTTGTAAACCTCAGCCCGGATGTCTTGCTTTGATGGAAGGGCAGGGAGCATCGACACCATCACATTGAGCTGGTACATGGAGGTGGTCACTTCCTCAAGACGCTGAACGATCTGCGGGGCTACGCCCAGGTGAAACCGTTCAAGCCCCCTACGGCACATCCTTGGCGATCCTCGGCTCCCAGTTGCAACTTCATCTACAGCCCCTGACAAGCGATCTGTCTGGCTAAGAGCACCGTTGTCCGTCCCAGAAAGCTCAGTTAAGTCCCGCATTAATCCATCCATTATATCCACAATTTTTTCGTAGGATAGCATTGCCCTAAGAGACATGATGTCGAAAATGCGCTCTTCTTCTGCAGTACTCGCTCGCTCCAGCTTTTCCTGGACAGACTGGGTGGCTGCAAGGAGCCGCCCACTCGCCCCATTGAGTCTTTTGATAGAAGCTTCAAGTGGTAACTGCACACACTGAAGGTCCTCCTGCATGCCAACTAAGTATCCCGACACACTCAGAAACGCATTACGCATGCCAGTGTTAACGTGGTGAGAAATTTTGTCTCGAATAAGGTCCTCGAAAAAAGTCAAGTCCCTGCACAAATCCTCTAGTGGCACGCCCGTACTAATTTTACTCTCGACAAAGGCTAAGGGATCAAACTCCAGAACGTATCCAGGATCGGTATCGAGGTCTTGACTCAATTCGTCAATCTCATCGTTAGTGCTTCCGTGTGAATTCAAGCTAATGCCAAACTCATGATCATAAAAGCACAACTTCATAAGCTGGAGCTGCTCAAGAGACGATGCGTTCTCAGCTACCTCTTTTTTTAGTGTATTCAGATCATCGGCATGCTCTGAGAGACTCATCGTTTCTTAAATTAGTGTATCGTATCTATAGAATGAGTAATGAGGGGGGAAAGAGAGTTTACAGGAGGCTGGAGGATAATTTTAATCTGCTACTCTCACAGATGTAAATACATGTTTGATATGTAAGAGGAAAAGTGGGGCTATTTGAACGCAAATCTATGCATGCAGAAATATTACCAGGCGATCAAAATAGAGCTGGTTTTGTTCATTCGAAGCCACTCAAAAGCAGTTTGTCCCTCGATTCCCCTTTAGATGCCCTTCCTAAACAGAAGCGTTGTCCTCCCTTACTTGAGATGCAGCTTTAATCTTCTCCATATGTCTTCGCCTTGCTTCGCCACTAGCAACTTCGCGCTCAAACGCTTCACGATCTGCTTGGTGGTGCACCTCCCGCAGCCAAGTTAAGTTTCCACGTGTATTCTCAACATTACGAGGCTTATAGACGGCATTACCAAACTGCCAATCCAAGTGATGCATGCGCCCCCACTCCCGCACCACGGCATCCATGTTATCTGTGGGCAATGCGTGCGTGAAACCTAGCTCCGGCTGCAGCGGGTGGTTGCGCATGATGGCGCGGGCGGCCTCGGTGATATGACTCTGTGGCGCTTCCCGCGCCGTCGTGACGTGTGTTAGAACGAAATCAACAATATTGGCGACGCTCCGCAGCTCCTTGCGGTCGTCAGAGGTGGGCGAAAGGCGAAAAATGCCCTCCACGACCTGGTCAAGAACACGCTCACGCAGCGAGTCCTCTTCGAAGACAAAATTTTCTATGATGCGGCGCTCAGGTAACTCCGTGAGTGGGTTTCCTTCAAAATCGAGCCGACGCAGCTCATAACCGTCACGTTGTGCTTCAACAAAAATAACCTCGGTTAGTTTGTCTACCAGGTACGTCTTTATCTCATCGTCGTTCATGCTGAGGACAACTTTGGAGAACTCCTCATCCCAGGCTGGCGGTCGAATGCCCTCCGGTTTTGCTGGGGTGTAGGAGTCTGGCGGCACGTTAGGCAGCCAAGGTTGCTGCGTGTACCACCACTTCCACGCGAACGACGACGTGCCGCGAGATACACCAACACCCTCGGGGTTGAAGCGGTCGATGGTGGGCTGTGGGCGATGTGAGTGGGACTGGTCCCACTTACTAATGCCCTGAGCCTCGCGCTGCCAACGGTTCAGTTCTTTGTACTTGTGCATGTGCGGCCGCGGCTTTCGTAGGACATTTTTGTGCGTAGAGCGTAATCGGATCGGTGTGTAACGAAAAAGCATCCCTTCGTGAACTAAGAGTTCGCTATAAAATACCCTATTTGACTAATTATCATAAAGTCACGAACACAGCGTGGTAGTGAGGATGAAAAAAATGATAACAGTAGCAACCTATCAAAGGATCTGGTCGCGCACCACAATGATGGAGTGCATAAGAAAGGTTGAAATATAATTTTATGTGTGCATACAAGCTAATTATCATGGGCATTGAAGCAGTTGAGAGACTCAAAAAATCTCATTAGCGAAAGGAATATTAGCTTGCTTAAATACACTCTTATTCTTCTTCAAAAATTTAGAGAAATATTTGTTCCGTAAAAAAAAATTGTTAGAGCAGGGATCCATCGTGTACATATATATATATATATATATATATATATGAGAAAGCAAGAAGCTTATTTGATGCAAAGTATTCAAGAAAGTAGTTAAATCTCCCTTACACTCTGATTTCATATTATTCCTTCGTTTTTATAAAGCGAACAAACCTTAGTTACCATCAGGAATCCTTACTTTTATTGATCCTATTATTGCTGTTC